TGTTAACATTACGGAAGAAAAAATCTGTTTTTGAAAATAATGACATTAAAAGAAAATGCACTTAAATCGCCTGTCCATCCTTAACCACAATAATAATATGAGTTATATTATACGCACGTATATACGTTATATAGTATATGCACATATAAAATAACACAAAAAATATTCTTCATTATTAACTCTTCAATAATGTCTACAGTGAAACTGCTAAATATTCCAAATTTTCTTAGTAAAACATTTATAGAAAACTTCAGTATTCCGCATTTAACAATAAGTATGCTTAAAGAAATTTATTAATTTTTTTTTAAATCTTCAATCAAGTAACCGTAAAATTTTGAAATGCAAAATGTTTCTTTTAACAGTGTCTTTCCCGCATTAAGTATGTAATTACGAAGTAGCATTTTAGAATTCAACACTAGATGGCACTGTTGTATCAGACAATACAGCATCATCTTTTTTTTAACCATGATTAATCATTTGATCACTGCGGTAAATATTTCCATTTATGAAAGATATTTTTTAAATGGAAACTTTTAACTGAAATTATTTCTGCTATGATTATCAAGTCTGCTTTTCATAAAGGCTAGAGTTTCAGCTTAAATTTCAAATGTTTTTTTTTTTTTTTTTTTTTTTAATATTACTTTCTTTTTTTTCAGCGCGCACTCTGTTAAAAATTTGATTTAAACTGTTTCGGAGCCAACGGAGACTTTGCACGGTTATTTTCCAGTTTACCTTCTAAGCGGAGCGCACCGGAGCCCTAAATAAGACAACTTCCGGCACTCCTTTTTATAAAATTGAACAATAATTTCAGCAGAAAATGATTTTGATCTCATAGCCTATAGGTTCTCTAACCACAGTTTCAGTGGGGAATAAAAACATCCTTTTATTTAGCTGTTAAATATTTAGTTTCAGTTTATAAAAACTATTTTTATTCAGGTTATGGTATTTATATTGTGTTTATTTTTTGATAATAATTAACACATTAAAAATAATCTAAATATATATGCATATATATATATACGTATATGTGGGGGGGGGCGTTGCCGGGGGCTTGAAGGCGACATAAGACGCGCACAGCATCGCAGTCCACTTCTGTGGGCGTGGGTTTGAAATCCACTTCTATTAATTTGTAGTGACTATCTGGGCGGCAGAAGTTCAATCTAGTTTTGAATTTTAATTCTTGTTGCCAACTCTGAAAGGTATTCCTAATAACTTTAAATATGATCAAACTATATATTGCTCTGATTTATTACTCAGCCGATTATTTAACTTTTTGTCAATTCCTACATATATATATATATATTATTTCGAGTTTTGGAAAGAAAGAGAGAATAGTCTAACAACCGCGGAAGGGGTGCATGCGGAAGAATAAGTTGAGAACCACTGTTGTAATATGTTATTTTAATAATAAGTAAAGCTTGGAAGTCGATATGCACAATTATGAAAACAGGTGAAAGCTAGACCGGCCAACACCTCCATACTACCACAGGTAACTAAGGTATCACTGAACCTAATTGACTGTTAGGCTACTGCCTCAACTTTAAGAGAGAACACACAGGGTAAAGACTCAGGTTCTTCTACCTCTCTTCCCCTATCACCAACTCCCTCGAGAGGGCTTTCGGCTCGCCGTGTATTTTGAGTAACCCCCTTGCTGCGTCGACACTATACACTTATAAACATTCTCTGGAATTCGAACCCAGGCCCACTGATACGACAGGCGCCCTAACCACTATACTGGCTAGTAAGATAGGATCCAAAGTACTGTAAGTGATCTAATGAGACATTCGTAATTTCGTCTTAATACGGCATGCACTTAAACAAATATACGACCATTGGCAGGGTCAAAATACCCAAATGCATGGATTTGGTTTTTAGGGAAAGACAGAAATCTTTCGTGAAAACCAAACCCTTGGATAGAATTTCCGATGTTTAAGTCAAGACACGCTCTCCAAATACATGTCGAAACTTCCTACAGTAAGTGTAACAAATATATTATACCTTATTTGGGAACGGATAACTTCTAGTCCCCGAAAGTACTAGTGGTATTGATACGAGAGATACTAATGTAAATAGCTCATCCAACATTAGTGACTTCCTCTGAGAAAGAGGACCTGCAGAACTTTCAAAATGTTTACTTATACTGAAAAACTTTGAAAAAATACTTCAAATTTATATTTAATTGTTCTCGGCTTACAGCCCTCGTATACAATGGTATTTTTTCCTCGCGTCACATTTTGCTAGATTTTTTTTTACTCGCCGCACATTTTGTTTGCTATAATTATATCGACACTGGTTCTGAGAGAAAAAGTGCTTGATTCCTTTCTCTCTCTGCCTTTGCATCTATCTTCTTTGTTACATTTTTTTTATGTACTCTAACACTGCTTCTAGTATTCTCTCTATTCTCATTAGCGATGCTTGGTGTGTTGTAAAAAGAATATTTTTTGCTATCATTCTTTGAAACAGTACAGTACTATTGTTGCGTGCGTACAGGTTCGTAATGGACTGAATAGACACAAAACCGATGATACCTTGATAAAATTTATTTTTTCAAATGAAACACTTTAGTTTCTGGAACTTTCCACGAAAATACTCGTACAGCTCCTCTCAGTATAACAAAGCACAATCAGTAGTTACACTTCAAACTACTAAGAACGCTAAACACAACGCAGTGCAAAGTGCATCTAAAGGTCGAAGCTCGTACGAAGATCTCTCAATAATCCGAAGTCAACCCTGAGCTAAAAACAGAGAATTGGTACTCTCTCCGCACTTATATAGTTTTATCCCCTGATCACCGAGAAATTTACAGCACCTTCGATTTCTCGAAATTACTGAAACGCATATACAATTCGAGTTACAGTTGCATATGGTTGGATACAGTTACAGTTATATAGCCATTTAGGTCAACTACAGTTGTACAGGAACTGACCCAAAAAGTCGCCAAATGGTCGTCAAAGCTTAGCGACTTTTTGATTCAGTCCCTGTACAACTGTAATTTGACGCTTGGCGACATTGGACTACGAAAATTAGTCGCCAAAACCATCAGTAGCTTGGTGATATCTCGCATATTTAGCGAGATAGCCATTCACCTCAATGTTAAATAGTGTAATAGTATTCCTATTTTTCTGGCAAAGCTTCGTTTCTAAAAGCCGTTCATGTTACATTACACAAAATTTGTAGCTCTATGTAGGGGCTTAAATTCAGCTAGAATTTCTTAGTTTTTGAGTAAAATAGTAATTAACACCGGATTCCTAAATAAGATGAAGTCCGATATGTTACTCTATAATTTAACCATTTGCTTTAATTTAATTTTTATATATCTCGTTATATTTATTGAATTTTAATTATTAATTTTTATACATTTTATAACAATCTATTAAATTTCGATTATTAATTTTTATACATTTTATAACAATCTATTAAATTTCGATTATTAATTTTTATACATCTTATTACATTTTATTAAATTTTAATTATTAATATTTTATTTTTCTATTCCTTCTCAAATTCCTTTACGGTTTCCATATGGCTCGGCACTTCTAATTTAAAAATTAATCCTCAATTTTGTTCACTCGACAAATAGGCAGATTCTTTTCTCCTTTCTTCGATAACCCTCTATACATAAGGGGGAAATGTAACTAATAACTAAAGGGAAAAAAATCTCGTTTATACACAAATTTTTCTGGGTATGCTCACTTTTAGAAAAGTTTGGGTCACAAATATTCTTTCACTAAAGACATTCATAATAATATTTATTAATCTAATATTTAGGCAATCAATAAATAATTGACATGAAATCATTCTTAATCTAATTTCATTACTTTTAATTTCTGTGACTTTCATAACAAAATATTTAAAAGAAATAAAATTAATTAAAAAACGTCTATTTACAACAAATGCATAAAACAGTGAAATCTTCCTAAGCAAAATACCTCATATTTGTAGAAAATTAAGGCATTCTGTGATGTTCATGTCACCTTAGAGGATATACTATCTGATCTGCGTCATTGTTAAAAAGATTAGTAATTTTTGCTATCCTCATCTCCAAATAAATAATAAGCAGAACAAAAAAAAAAAAAAAAAAAAAAGAGAGAGAAATTACAACAAATGGTTGCGACAATCACATATATTCGCTCAGACCCGAAGATTATGGGAATCAAGGGCACCTGCAAATACGTTTAAAAACTAAATACGGCAGTTTAAACTCACGACATGTACATTGAAAAGCCGTCATGCTGATTGTGAGAATTAAAGGCAGATTGTTTGGAAAGTGGCAGTGTTTGTCGAAAGCGCGACTATTCACGTTTGCCATTCGAGGTTGGTAAATGCCCTTTCACAACAATTAGCTAAGGGAACGACAACGTATCTTCTTTAAAGAAATCTGATTTTTGATAACTCTAAATTCTACACCAGATCGCCTAAGTGTGAACAAGTTACTATCAGAGAAAGTAAACCTTTCATTCGTATACTCTTGCTTTAATTGTAATCCTCTAAGAGTAGACAAAATTTGCTAAATTTTAAATCTGGACTTGTTTGTAAGTTGACTGAAGTCAGGACGATAACTTGTCGACAATCTATAAGCAACTCTGAGCAAAGTATAATTAGTTGGATATATTTTTAAGAATGGTTAAATAGCAGAACATCAATTTGAGCCTTGCTGCTAGTACAAACAAAAGTATCATTTCCCATTTAGATCCACAAGAACAAATTTCCTAGATTTTAAATAACCATCTAATCATCCTATAATTCACAAGAATTATGTTTTTCCTTCATATAAATCATCAATCAAAGATGGCATCGGCCTGTCGCCTAAGTCTATACATAAGAAACACAACCCCAAGACTATATATTTAGATAACTCCCAAACCATGATATAATTCATCGGAATTATGCTTTTTCCTTCATAAAAATTCATAAAACCTTCATCGGGCACTGATCATAATGCATTTAGGAGAAATTACAAGAATCTAAACTCTACTTTAACAAAAGCAAATAGTACTCACAAGGTCCATCTGATAGCGTGGGTCCCTCAGGATAAATCCGAGGTGGTTGAGGAATAGAAAAATGTTCATTTTCTCCACTACTGCGCCAATCCCAATCTGTAGAACCATCTTCAGCATCCCGAAAGAAGTCTTCGTCATCGGAGAGTGATCCTCTACGACTGTGCGATTTCTTACGGCGGTGCTGCTGTTTCTTTTTATGGTGATCGTATTGCTGATCATCTTGCATCGCATGCAATGGACTGGAGAGTGGATTGATAGCATTGGACAAAACATTGCTGTCCACCTGTATGCTATTCAGCTCGTCAAAAATCAAGTCTGGATCATGCTGAAAGAGAAAGCCAATAATTATTTGTATGAACAGATTTCACAGACATTTATTAAAATTCAAGATTACTAAAGCCAAAAAACATTTTTAAATAATCTGATATCGTATTACTTTTCTGAAACTAAGCGATTATACTCTGCTACATTTCTAACATTTCACGTTTAAGTCCAGTTTGATAAGTCAGCGGGCTGACGATGGTTTTGGCGGCTAATTTTTGTCAGCAGATTTGGCGAAAAATCGCCAAAATCTGGTTAACACCAATGAGGTGTGGTGGTGTGGTGTATTTAATTATGGCAAAGCACACTAGGGCTATCTGCCTAAGGGGAGAGATGCCTTTGTGGAGGACTTTCTAAGGGAAAGTGGCTCGTATACACGTTACACATGGGGAAAACCACGAAAACACCCATGCAGCCAGCCCGTTCGTGGGATTCGAACCTCGGACCGAACTACCAGTGTTCAGCGACTTTACCGATCGGCCGCTGGTGGGCCTTAACACCAATAAGAGTTTCTCTTAAAAGTACGAACTTCCGTTGCGCATGCGTATGCAAAAATACACGAAAAACATGGATGACCGATAAATGATCCTGTAGCATTGTAACTAATGCTTGCATATGTAAATAAAGAAATTTTGGAAGATCTTAAATGAACTATATGCAGCATATTGTTAAAAACGAAAGATACCATATTCAGATATAATCATACCGCGTTGGAAACACCTTTTATAAATTAATGCCGCATATATTCACAATAATGACCAGTTTAACTCATTATTACGGGAGTACGGGATTGAATGCATACAGAACCGATGACAGCTTGGTAAAATTTATTTTTTCTAAAAGACACACTTTACCGTTTTGGTACTTTTCACAAAAGTACGCGTACAGCTCTTCTCAGTATGACAGAGCAGAGTCATCTCTAAGTACCCCGAATACAACTCTGAACTAAAAACTGAGAGCTGATGCCCTCTCCGGTCTTATATAGTTTTCCCTCGTCCGCCGTTAAATTTCCAGTACCTAAATTTCTGGGAGACATATACATCTACAGTTATTACATATAGGACCGAATACAGTTACTGTTATACAGGGGGATCAGACCAATTACAGTTATACAGGGGGATCAGACCAATTACAGTTATACGGAGGGATCAGACCAATTACAGTTATTCGGAGGAATCAGACCAATTACAGTTATACGGGAATCGGACGAAAAAAATCGACAAATGGTCACCAAGTTAGACGAATTTTGGCGATCTCTCTCCGAATCTGATGACATAAATTAGTCGCCAAAATTATCGTCAGCTTGGCGCTATGTCGCCATTTACCTCAATGACAAATGTTGCGAATTTTGGCGATCTCTCTCCAAATCTGATGACAAAAAGTAGTCGCCAAAAACCATAGTCAGCTTGGCGCTATATCGCCGTTTACCTCAATGTTAAATGGACCTACCATTTTAATCTTATATTTCCTGTGGAACTTCGCTCTCTTGAGGCATTTCATGTTACATTATTCGCAAAATACTATGCTTCAAACATAATGCCACTAAAATTATTTACATATATACAAAATTCGTAATAATATTATAAATTAAATATACTTAAATTATATAGGATAAAATAAAGTAAGCTAAAGGACACCAGTGACCCTCGGGTTGACGGTAATCGCAATGGAGCGAGCAGTAAATTTAGGCAGATTACTACGGTATGATTAAATCGAAAGATATTGGTCACCATCACTACCACTGTTAAGTCAGCCCAATGGCTGACGGTTACTGGTGTCGGGCACAGTAAAAAATGTAACTTTAGATAGAGTATTAAAATGAAATTAAACCAAAAGATACTAGTGCTCCTAATAGCCAATCACTGCTGTTGCCCACGGCAAAATTTAGTGTATTGCCAACTCTTGCTAAACAATCTTTCCTCCGTGTGTTTACAAACATCTGTATTCTGGGAGCTTCGTCTTTGAAACGGGAAAGTATCGTAAACCGGGTTCCTATTTAAGATCCCACTGGTTCAGCGCATTGGACGATAAAGTGGTTTCAAATATTAGCATGGTTTTGCTTAATGATTTCACGCATGCTTATTCTGCTCATAAGGAAGACCTCTCCAAAATCGGGATGAGGCCAGAAACGGTAAAAGATAAGTAAAATGTTTTTAGTCATTACAGTGGGTTTTTCTTTGTTAAATCTGCTCATTGCATGTTAAGGACTGGTGTGGGCCAGATTGAATTGGATTACTGAGATAAAGCACGCTGTATCTATCTAATGTTATCAGCCTAAGGGAAGTGATGCATTTGCTGAAAATCTTTTAAAGGCAAATTGACTAGTATTAACTTCATATACGGGAAAAACAACAAACTTCCATACAGCCAGCCCATTCGTGGGAGTTTGAACCCAGGTCAAACTGTAAGTACTCAGCTGTATTGTCTCTTGACCACTAGCGGGTCAGGCCTCATTAGGGCTTGAAACAAATGAGCGAAACCCCACAGTTGCATTTATGTCTAGTGGACAGTGCAAATTTAAGTTAGATCCCTACGCACATGAATGATAAATTTACAGGTACGTAACCATAATCAAGGTTCATAGCCACATTTTAGTTAAAAAAATAAGCACCTATAAGCACTTTTCAAGAACATTTTAAGAAAAAAATAAGCACCTGTCTAATTACATTATACACAACTGCATAACCTTAAAAATTAGACTTGTAATTAAAAATATAAGAAACGCAGTATTTATTAAGAAAGAATAAGCATTACCTCAACCATGGAAAATAATTACTTTTTTTTTTTTTTCTAAATTTTAAATAATAGTTCAATTTACAGAACTAGTTTACAATGAGAGGGGAAAAAAAAACTATGCAGAACTAAACTATATTACAAGATTTAATGATGAAATTTCAGTTCAAATAGAGAAAAAATAATATAAGCCATATTTATTGTATTCACTTGGAACCTAATAATAAATACAATTTTATTTTTCCACTCATATTGATATTTAAATAATTTAAATCTAAATTCTAAACATTTTCTAAATTTTCATTGTATATCAGTTTTTTCTCTAACAGATATTGCAAGCAAAGTAATTTAAGTAAAAAAGAGGAACATTTCTGAAATCAGAAGACAGAAATTTGCTTCATGCAGTCATCCTTTAACAGTAAAATCTTAACTAACCCGCATACTTGGAAATTGGCGA